GTGACCATAGACCTCCATTATATGACTGACAGACAAGAACAGTTTGACCTAAAAATATCAAAATTGAAACTACTGCGACAACTACATCCTAGATGCCCTTGAGGTAAGATAAAACATACCAAAAATTTATTTCAAAGTGCTTTTGAACTATAATAAAAATGAAATAAACTATAAATAAATTATATATATATAATATATAAAGTAAATTTTCTCCAAGATCAAATGTTGATGTACCCAGTTTGACCATGCTGAAATGTATAGTATGTTTTATAAGACGCATTCTTCTTCGGTCTACCTGCAGGTCTATAGCTAGACTGGCTAACATCCAGGAGGCCGTCCTGCGCAAAGCAGCCGAGACCACAGAGGTCTTACTGGACCATGAGAAGGAGTGGAAACTGGGTAAGTGCATCCTGCGCTTCCCCGAGATCCTGCAGAAGATCACAGACGACCTGCTGCTTCACACACTGTGCGACTACCTGTACGAGCTGGCCACCACCTTCACCGAGTTTTACGACAGCTGCTACTGCGTGGAGAAGGACCGGCAGACAGGTGCGTACCCTGAAGCCCCACACGAGACTACAAATAAGTGTAGCTCGCCCAGAAAGAAAAACAGATTCGGTGCCCAAAACCTTGAGGCTTTAATGGTTAAATAAATCCATGTACTTGGAGCATATGCTCTTTAGAAGATGTGTCAGGAGTGTAATTGGTCCAGAAATGTGTTTAGTTTCAACTCATAGGCCAATATAAACTTTCATACTGCAGTGAAAGATGCTAAATAGAGGAGTTTTAATTTAGATGTAATAATTTACTGTTTCAATACGTTTTAATGAACAACAAATGATTCATTTGAACTGGGAAATCTAATATGGGATAATATCAGATAGAAAGTCCCTTAGTTGTTTTTTTTCTCCCATTAAAAACTAGTTACTTAAGCACCGTCTCTTGAATCGTACAGCTTCTTTAGTCTTTTAATATAGACTAATGAAATGAGCTGTACTGTGAGTTTGATAAAGACTGCTGCTTGTGGGACTTTTGGGTTTCCTTTTGTTTATGCACAGTACTTTAAAAGCTCATGGATTTAAAGGTAAAATGTCATTTCCGTGGCATCAAATGCAAAAATAATTTTCAAATTTCCCGAATAGTGTATTTTGGGTGACTAATGTGCGTCACTTTAAACTAGTAAATTAAAAATATTAAATTAAAAAAAAAATATTAAAGTATTAAAACAACAGAAATTAGTTGGTCACATGAGGGCACTGAAAATATAAAACTAAACTAAAACTGCACATTGATGCATTTTTGCATAAAGTCTTCCTCAGATTGGGTCAGAAAGCAAAAATGTTACAGGTGTAAGTGCAATTAACTGCTAAGTTCCACAATAAAAAAATATTAAAATATAAAAAAAAAATAATAATAATTTAACGTCCAATTGTAACCAGCTAAAACTATAATAAAGGCTTTGTAACTATTTTTATTGGAAGTGCATTAGACCATTTTTTTCTAAAGTTTAGAAAGTAAACTTTCTAAAATTAAATTAAATTAAATTAAAGGATTAGTTCACTTAAAAAAATTTTTTGCTGATAATTAACTCACCCCCATGTCATCCAAGATGTCCACGTCTTTCTTTCTTCAGTCGAAAAGAAATTAAGGTTTTTGATGAAAACATTCCAGGATTTTCTCCATATAATGGACTTCAATGGGAACCAAACGGTTCAAGATCCAAAAGACAGTTTCAGTGCAGCTTTAAACGACAGCAGACGATGAATAAGGGTCTTATCAAGCGAAACGATCGCTCATTTAAAAAATAAATAAAAAGTTTAAGTTTTATAAGCACAAATGCTCGCCTTGCTCTGTTCTGTGATGCGGGTACGTGACTCCTGTTCGAATTCGTTCGTCAAAATGAACGAATCTTTTTTCGAGTTACTTCGTTCATTCAACTGAAGCTGCACTGAAACTGTCTTTTGGACCTTGAACCGTTTGGTCCCCATTGAAGTCCATTATATGGAGAAAATTCTGGAATGTTTTCATCTAAAACCTTAATTTCTTTTCGACTGAAGAAAGAAAGACATGGACATCTTGGATGACATGGGGGTGAGGAAATTATCAGCAAAATCTTTTTTTTAAAAGTGAACTAATCCTTTAATGACATTTTAATTTCCTAAATGACCAAGACGTGACTAAACGTCATTGATTTGATTGAAATGAACCTTTGAAAATGGCCTGTTTGACTAATGACGGCTCTAAATCATTCTCCTCAGGGGAAGTGGTCAAAGTCAACATGTGGCGGATGCTCCTCTGTGAAGCCACCGCAGCTGTGATGGCCAAAGGCTTTGACATTCTGGGTATCAATCCAGTTCAGAGGATGTGAATTGATCAATGCCTTCCTCCTCTGAACTCAAGACCTTTCTCTCAAAAACACACATGTCCCGACGGATTCTTATGGTATGCCAAATAAAAGTCATTCGACTGTCCATAAAAAAAAAACTTTGATTTTCCTGGTCATTTTTCCTCACTTAAATGTCAGATTAGCCAACTGGACCCTGAAAACTGCCAAAGTCAATCTGTTAAACCTTTCCCTTCTATATAACAAGTCTGAATCTTATTTTTGTCTAGCAGGAAGAATTTTGGTTCACCTAAAGCAGGGGTGTCCAAACTCAGTCCTGGAGGGCCTGTGTCCGAAATCACACTATTTAAGGGGAAAGCCGTTTGTAGTGGTCTCCAAAACCATAGTGGATGTCACCGAGTGCACTCATTCAATCCCACAATGCACTGAAATAACGAGTGTTAAACAATGGCACTGAGTCACGTGCCGAATGAATTCCCACATCTGAACTGATGGCGACCGGCGGCACAGCTGAATCCTCCGTTTATCCGGTTTCCAAAACCGCTGGTCCAATGGAATATATTATAGGAATAAATTCCTTTTTAGTTAATTATTAAAAAACTGTTTAATTAAAGGAGTAGTTCACTTTAAAAAAAACTTTTGCTGATAATTTACTCACCCCCATGTCATCCAAGATGTCCACGTCTGTCTTTCTTCAGTCGAAAAGAAATTAAGGTTTTTGATGAAAACATTCCAGGATTTTCTCCATATAATGGACTTCAATGGGGTCCAAACGGTTCAAGGTCCAAATGAGAGTTTCAGTGGGCTTTAAACGATTCCAGACGATGAATAAGGGTCTTATCAAGCGAAACGATCGCTCATTTAAAAAATAAAGTTTTATAAGCACGAATGCTCGCCTTGCTCTGTCCGTGACTCCTGTTCGAACTCGTTCATCAAAATGAACAAATATTTTTTCGTGTCATTTGGTTCATTCAACGAACAAATTGACTTGGAAAAAGATTTGTTCATTTTGATGAACGAGTTCGAACAGGAGAGTCACGAACGCGCATCACAGAACAGAGCAAGGTGAGCATTTGAGCTTATAAAACTTAAACTTCGTTATTTATTTATTAAATGAGCGATCGTTTCGCTTGATAAGACCCTTATTCATCGTCTGGAATCGTTTATAGCCCTTTGAATAGTTTGCAGTTTGCACTGAAAGTGTCTTTTGGACCTTGAACCGTTTGGTTCCCATTGAAGTCCATTATATGGAGAAAATCCTGGAATGTTTTCATCAAAAACCTTAATTTCTTTTCGACATCTTGGATGTCATGGGGGTGAGTAAATTAACAACACTCATTACTACTGGAGCGCAAGTTTGCTAAATTTCAAGTTCTGATTTCAGACACAGGCCTGGAGAGTTTAGCTCCAACTTCAACACACTTGCCTGGAAGTTTCTAGTATGACCTTGATTAGCTGGTTCAGGTGTGTTTAATTGGGGTTAGAGCTGGATTGGACACCCCTGACCTAAAGATTTTACAACAGCTTTGCTCATTTTGCTTACTTTTCATTCCACAATATGCATCAAATATTGTTCTCCTTTGAATTGTAATGCAATAAATCAATTTTGTAATGTGTTTGTAGTCACTGGTGTATTCCTGTATCTGCTCTCGCTCGAGACTTTCGGCGCATTATTCAGTTTGAGATTTCATTTAAGATTTTTAATAGAGTTTTTTTCTCTTGCCATTAGGATTTAATTAGTTGTGGGTGATAAATGCAGCGTCCGTCCGCACCTGATAATCTGGATGAAGATTAAGAGGAATGATTTAATTCACTCGCAGGGTCAGTGGTTATTTACTCGTTGGATGTTTTGCAACTGGGATTTTCGTGATAATTTCAGGTCTGAGATCAGAATTAAAGATCTGGACACTTAATTACCTGGTCGAGTCTTTGGAGAATCCATTAGTTTTCTTCTAAGCTACTCTAAGGGCATCCGTATACTTCATGGGTTTATTTTCAACTCCGATCGTTTGAATTTTACAAGGTGGCTAGTTCGTACGAATTCATACGACCTCACTTGTATGATTTTGCAAAAATTGTACGAATTCGTACATATTTTACGAATTGCCCAATTCGTATGCATTTAAATAAACCTACACTGTAAAAAATATTGCTGGTTTAACTTAAAAAAAAAAAAAGTAACTGGGTTGCCTTTAATTTTAAGTTCATTGAAATGGAAAAATTGAGTTGATACAATGAAGAAGAGTCATTTAATCACCATAAACTCAAAATATTATGTTATCTGAACTACATAAATTATCTAAGTTGATTTGACAAGAGGAAAAATGTTGTGATTACAAATCATGAAAATATTTTTTACAGTGTACCTAACACGGGTTTAGACAAATAGCATGAAATCGAACGAATTAGCCACCTTTTACTCATTCGAATTGGTCGTGAGATAGCAAAGTCATATAGCGTACACCTATAGGATGGGTGTAGGGTGAGTAAATCATTGATATAATTTTCATTTTTGGGTAAACTAACCCTTTAAAGATCAGATAAGAATTAAAATAGTGTGTTACAATGTAAAAAAGCAGTCAGGCTAGTGATTAACCAATCAGAATCAAGTATTCCATAAAGTCATCAGAGCATCAAGAAATAAGTCAAGCCATGGTGTACTTCAATGATATATATATATTTAAATAAAAATCTGTAACATATCAACAATACCATCACAAAAATATAAGTTATATTAGAAATTCCTCTTATAAAGTCAATATTTATAGTATAATTGTAATATTTTGATTTGATCAAATGTGTAGCATCACAATTTGATCGTATAGTTCATGATAAAACTAAAATGCAATATAATTATAATGCGCCAGGTCATGTATATCACCAAATGGTCAATCAGATAATCTCACAAATAAATTAAAGCGATGGCAACTGAAAAACGCGCCTGTGAATCAGAGTCTCGGCTTCTGTACACAGTGTTTCTCATGTTTATGATGAAAGTGTGATATAGTTCCAGATCAAGTCACCCAGTCCATCCTTTAATGCTTAAGAACAGCAGGATTTGAGAGTTTGAGAGTCCCGTGGAACGGTCCTTTAAATGGGATGAGACATTTCATTACTCTGACACTCTCTCTTGTCAGTCTTGATAATGCGAAGTGCACCGGCTCTCCTGGTACACCTCATCACACTGCTGTTGTTCAGTGTCTGCAGGCTGAATTGTCTTTGCATTGAAATGGTCCCGTAAGTCTCCACGGTACCGAGAGTCTGGAACAACTTTGAAGATTTCACTTCATCATCTCAGAGCTTTGGACCCCATTCGCTCGCTCACACTCACTTTATTTCTTTGTTTTTCGAGCCCACTCGTAGCTCTGGGATTGGAAAGCTGTCTGAGGTTTAATGGATTACTCCTTAGTATGCTTTGAGTCTTTTGTTTTGTGTCTAAAAGAGTCTCTCATGGCCATCAACACAGATGATACCTGGTGTCCTCCGACTTTATGGTGCCATTCTGGAGATCGACCTCTGATGAAAGAGAAAAGAGTGAAAAGTCAATATAGGGGTTCATTTCGCGTCATAACGTAAACCGAAGCTTTAAATGAGTAGTTCACTTTAAAAAAAACTTTTGCTGATAATTTACTCACCCCCATGTCATCCAAGATGTCCATGTCATTCTTTCTTCAGTCGAAAAGAAATTACAGGATTTTTCTTCATATAATGGACTTCAATGGGGTCCAAACGGTTCAAGGTCCAAATGAGAGTTTCAGTGCAGCTTCAACGGGCTTTAAAAGACGCTGAATAAGGGTCTTATCTAGCGAAACCAAAAAATTACGTTTTATAAGCTCAAATGCTCGTCTTGCTCTGTTCTGTGATGCGCGTTCGTGACTCTCCTGTTCAAAATGAACGAATATTTTTTCCGAGTCCATTTGTTCATTGAATCAACCAAATGACTCGAAAAAAGATTCGTTGAGTCCGAACAGGAGTCACGAACGCTCATCACAGAATAGAGCAAGGCGAGCTTTTTACCTTATAAAACTTAAACTTTATTTATTTTTTTAAATGAACGATTGTTTTGCTTGATAAGACCCTTATTCATCGTCTGGTGTCGTTTAAAGCCCTTTGAACAGTTTGCAGTTTGCACTGAAACTGTCTTTTGGACCTTGAACCGTTTGGACCCCATTGAAGTCCATTATATGGAGAAAATCTTGGAATGTTTGGAATTTCTTTTCGACTGAAGAAAGAATGACATGAACATCTTGGATGACATGGGGGCGAGTAAATTATCAGCAAAAGTTTTTTATAAAAACTTTATAGCTCTTAATCATGTAATTGTGGACAAATGTGGGCAGGTGTGATCCTAATTTTTATTTATTATAAATGTTATATCACTGTCTTCGATAAAGTTTTGTCTATCCATTTATGGTTTATTTTTTTTATTTTGAGGGTATTTTTGAATTTATTTACTTCAAAAAGTACCACATTTTCTGTGTAAAATAAATTATGCTTATTTTTATGCTTTTTTTAATTTATTTTTTTAACTACATTAAAATATCATTCCAATAAGTTCTTAGATCTAAAACTGTGTGTGTTCAGGAGGAAAAGTAGCCAAGTCTTGTACCGCTCAGATAAAGGGAAGTATTTTTAAAAAATAAATCAAAACTATTTTGCCCACATTTGTCCAGAATATGGTTTTTAAGGTTATACAAAAAAAAAAAAACCGTTGAAAAAAAAATTAAAAAATAAATTTTGGTCAAACCGCCCAGCAACACGTAATACGCATGTGCACTGTGTGATGACGTCACTAATTTGTCAAATTCCCATTTAAACGATAATAGTATTGTTTTTAAAAAAAACGTGCACTTTGAAACACGTTTTCAAAACACACCCAACCCACCAATCAATATTCGACAATATAATGCTAACTTTGTTTTGACAGGACAAATACATGCTGCAGTCACAATAACGTATAGTGTCTCCCTTCACCTGCACTCTCAAATATGCCAGCTAGACAAGTTCCAGCCGGCGGAGGTAATATAATACGTCTCAATGATTGTGCCGCATGTTTGCGCTGTCACATCACATCCCCAGGAACGCATCTCTCAATTTTCAATGACATACAGTTTTCTGTATTACATTCCTGTGTTTCATTGAGTCAACCCTACAATATGAATCTATAGGGGCACTTGTAGACCAGCAGGGAACAAATTGATGGTAAAAGTAATGAAATCTTTGAGCCAACCATAAATTTGTAGCCTGAAATACACACCTCGTGTCGGTCCGGCAGAGGTGCGTGACTCTTGACTTTTTCGACCCCAGCGGCTCGATTAAAAAGAAGCTGCAGAAAACTTGCGCCCGTACTCCTCTGACAGCCACAGCGGCGTGCTCGACCGAGGTGGAGGACACAAACATAGACCCCGTGGGATGATCCGTTTGCCACGTCCTGCAGGAACAGACGGAAAAGTTGTAATTGAAAGATCCTGTAGGGTGACAGACAGTGCAGGCGCATTGATATATGTGGGGTGGCTGGATTACAGCCGTGGCAGCGGTTAACGGGATTACACGAGCATGCCACGACGTGCCGTTGTTAAGGGATTTACTCTTTACTGTGCTAATTTGTCACCGAATTTGCCAAATTAAATCCAGGATGGGACCCGTGTTAAGTTTCAATTTTCTGCTGAGAGGTTCACCTATTATCATTCCAGCAAAGGTATTTTAGACATCAGTATAATTTGTCCCAGATGCTAATGCAGGGAATTATGCAAATGTGAAACACCTTTGAATATGAAGAGCAAAGCTCATTCCGTGAGCGTCGTTCCATTTCAAAGTACTTTATTGCCTTTGGGTGATAAGCCTCGAGTTCGGTTGAACGTTTGACCTTCTAAATATTGCTATTGTAATAGTTTTCAATTTCCCCTCGGTTATTGAATTGTTACCATTAAGGATGATAACATATACGATCTAAGTAAGCGCATGGTCTAAAGTGCACGGCGCAAGTCAACTTTTGCTAGTTTAACGACGGGAAAAATAGTCCCTAATCAAAAAAAACTTTTGCTGATAATTTACTCACCCCCATGTCATCCAAGATGTCCACGTCTTTCTTTCTTCAGTCGAAAAGAAGGTTTTTGATGAAAACATTCCATTCCGACTTCAATGGGAACCAAACGAATCTTTTCCCGAGTCAACTCGTTCATTTCGTTTGTTGAATGAACCAAATGACACGAAAAAAGATTCGTTCATTTTGATAAACGAGTTTTGAAAAGAGCAAGGCGAGCATTTGAGCTTATAAAACTTAAACTTTGTTATTTATTTATTAAATGAGCGATCGTTTCGCTTGATAAAACCCTTATTCATCGTCTGGAATCGTTTAAAGTCCTTTGAACAGTTTGCACTGAAACTCTCATTCGGACCTTGAACCGTTTGGTTCCCATTGAAGTCCATTATATGGAGAAAAATCTGGAATGTTTTCATCAAAAACCTTAATTTCTCAACTGAAGAAAGAAAAACATGGACATCTTGGATGACACGGGGGCGAGTAAATTATCAGCAAAAGTTTTTTTTAAAATGAACTACTCCTGTAATGAGTAATAGGTGTGCTTTGGTCATGACGTGCAATAAACTAATTAGAGTTAATTTACATGATGGACTTTGCGAGCGGAAAACTGAACGCTTCTCTAGCGAGGAAACAATCGCGAGGAGACCATCTATGCGACGAAGTGTACGAGCGTTGTGGACCCGCACATTACTAAAACGCTATTTAAATAAAAAACAAATACAGCGCCATTTGACTATTTCAGTTGCCTGAAAATAGAAAGACGCCAACAATGCGACCGTACACGCCTCGTTTTCAGACCAGCACGGTCATTGGCGCAAATGCATTTGCTGTTTAAACAACTTAAAAATGATAATTGCGTCAGGCTGAAACTAGCCAAACACACTTGTCGAGTAACTCTTTACCGTAACAGAACATGTTGTAGTGGTGGTCGGGCCCCTGCAGCCTGGAGTATGTAATGGTACACGTCTGCATCCTTGTCCAGAGTCTCCACCACCTCGCTGTGCAAGAGGTCTCTCTGCCACTGACTCTGTTCTCGTAACACGTGGTGGAAGACTTCCTGTTGCGGAGCGTCCAATTCTGTCGTTCCTCTCCACAGCCGCAAAGGGTAACCGTCCTCCACCTTCAAAAATCACATCAGAGTCATCACCTTCTTATCTTGGTTTGCAGGACGTTTATAAAGAGGAATTGCAACTGATTATGACTTGTTTTGTGCGCATAATATATTTATGCCTGGTTCAGATTACACAATTTTTTTTGTCTGTTACGATAGTCACTGTCAGATTACGCGATTTTGACTCCTAAAATCTTGTCGTGTCGTGGACAAGACACGTCAGACTACACGTTGCTTCCTGACATATACTGATCTCATGAAGTAGCGTGTGTATGACACGCCAATTCGTATTTCCAATTTTAGCGTGCTATCAACACGCATAATCGCTTTTCAGCGCGTTTATGAACGCCGTTGACTTAACGTTATTACTGTATATATAAATATATGACTTACCTCAACCCCGTCCTAAACCTAACCGTCACTGGGGTTAATGGCATTTATGAGTGTTCCCTTACCATCCTAGGGAAAACAAAAAACAGCTCCCTAGATGTAGATGTACATTTTGCTTTGTTTTAGTTGGACATTTGACGGCGTGTACGGACACGCGGAATGACACGGATTTTAATGGCGTAGACATACACGCGGATAGCTCAAAATGCGTCGAGATTACACGCCATTTGACTCGAAATTGGCGTGTATGATTACGCAAAAGTCATGATGTCATGTTGCCTGACAAGTCTTTGACGGCGCGCGTGATGTGATCGAGAAGGCGAAACTAGTAGCGAGTGACTTCCGTAAAAAAAAAACAAGGATGAAGCGGCGAGTGTTGTGTTGGCCGTCCTGTGTTCAGAAAAAGGAAAAAAAAAAAGAAGAAAACCCGACAATGGACACGTTCCCGGATTGCGAATCCACAAATCCTCCAAAGAGAACTTGAGGTAAAATATTGTTTTCTTACTTTTAGTTTTAACGTTAGCACCATCGTCTCTCTTTCGTTTCGCCATTTTTGAAAGTTGCGTACGGAAAAGCTTCTGTGCTCCTATTGGTCAACCTCATACATGTGACGCATGCTTGTCTTTTTGTCGTGATGTCGTGAAGTAGGTTGTCGCCCGCTATGACACACTATACGAGATTACGATTGATTCTTGCGTCCCGACACTCGTTGTTGTATACGAATCTCCACGACACCCTACATCAAACGGATCGTGCCAAAATCCCGCTAAAATCGTGTAACGTAGACGTAGAGCAAATAAACACTTTCAGGTCACGGCATATATACATATATATATATCCGCGTGTCATCTTTGCCTCCTCCACTTTCGATTCCGACCAACCTTATGCTTCCAGAGCCAGTCGTTTCAAAGAAATCATCGCGAGTTTTTAACGTACACCATTGACTGTTCGGAAAATGACGAGGGGAAGGTTTTCCGCAAGACGAATGGACGAGGGGATAATATACCTAAATAGAAAACGGCTCTTAAAACACGATCACCCACCAGAATGGTCTTATAAAATAATCATGAGTTACAATTTGCAAGTATTTGTATTTTAAGGGATTGAAAAAATAATAATTTTTAAAAATTCTTAAATATAACTTTAGAATATAATGCTCAAATGAGCAATTGTCGATTAAAAGAGTGTATAGACGCTTATACAACAAAGTTATGGAAATTAATATGACTACTTTACCAACTTATAGTTGTTAAAATGCATACGTTTTATGTTAGAAATGACTGTCCGAAACACAGTGAGTAGAAATTTTCAGGTGTCCGGAACACCGTGAGTCCTCATGGTAATCCGGACACTGCGTCTCTCGGCAGTTTTTTCAAGATTTCTCTAAAATGATTAGCTCAAAATGTGTCAAACAAACTTTGAAACGTGTGGAAGGCATGTCCCCAGAGACAGACGAGCAATCAATCAGGTTTATCTTTCAGCAGGTTGATATCTTAAAGGACGTTTTACTGTGCAAAGTGTCCAGAATACAATGAGTCTACGTTAATCTGAACCAGGCATTAGACGACTTTCTCTAGAGGCGGGAATGCGAGTAGAGTCTAATTTGGATCTCTAAACCCGATATTAGGATGTAAGTTGGAGGAGCACATACAAACCTTTTTATTCGCCACATCCACATGATCACAGCTCGAACAGGAGTTCCACCTTTTAGACTTGTCTCTGACCTCCTTCAAATGTTTTTGTGTGAGTAGAAACAGCCTGGCACGGTCTGGAAGTTCATTTTCTCCACAGTGAGACACAGAACTTAGACCTGCATCATTTTGCTGCGAATCTTCGGTAAAGCTGCCGGCTCCCTGCTCTTCCCAGTATTTTCGGGATCTGTATTGATTACAGATATAAATGTTATATGTTTATGCTTGCATATATAATTTCCCAGCCCCTTAAGAAGCTTTGGTATAGGTTTGACTAGTCTAGTAACCATTGTGAGGGACCCCTTTAAAGGAGAAGTTCACTTTTAAAAAAAAAAACTTTTGCTGATAATTTACTCACCCCCATGTCATCCAAGATGTCCATGTCTGTCTTTCTTCAGTCGAAAAGAAATTAAGGTTTTTGATGAAAACATTCCAGGATTTTTCTCCATATAATGGACTTCAATGGGGTCCAAACAGTTCAAGGTCCCAATGAGAGTTTCAGTGCAAACTCCAAACTGTTCAAAGGGCTTTAAACGATTCCAGACGATGAATAAGAATCTTATCAAGCGAAACGAGCGCTCATTTAATAAATAAATAACAAAGTTTAAGTTTTATAAGCTCAAATGCTCTGTGATGCGCGTTCGTGACTCTCCTGTTCGAACTCGTTCATCAAAATGAACGAATCTTTTTTCGTGTCATTTGGTTCATTCAAAGAACGAAAATGAACGAGTTGACTCTGGAAAAGATTTGTTAATTTTGGCAACCATTCGAGCTTATAAAACTTAAACTTTGTTATTTTTTTTTTAAAATGGCCGATCGTTTCGCTTGATAAGACCCTTATTCATCGTCTGGAATCGTTTAAACAATTTGCACTGAAACTCTCATTTGGACCTTGAACCGTTTGGACCCCATTGAAGTCCATTATATGGAGAAAAATCCTGGAATGCTTTCATCAAAAACCTTAATTTCTTTCCGACTGAAGAAAGAATGACATGGACATCTTGGATGACACGGGGTGAGTAAACTATCAGCAAAAACTGTTGCAGTAGTTAAATAAAAATAAGTAGCAGTTTTTGTTTTTCCAAAAATACATATATAATAATTTTACCACAATTTTACAAAAATACAATAATTTTCTTATTATTAAAAATGTGGCACATTAATTTCAGCTGAATGAATAATAACTAAATGCAAGTCATATACAGAATAACTAATCAAATAAATATTTCAATACATATAAAATAATTAAATGCATATTTAAATAAATATAAAAATACAGGAAAGGAAGTGTGTGTATGTGTATTTTGTAATACCCCTAGTTTGGAACTTTTTTTCCCCTTATGACACCTGAGATTAAAAATCAACAACAAAAACAATTGTGCAAGAGAGCTCTAAGCCCATAGAGATTGCATGCAGCTGGAAGTGCTGATAGTCATTAGTACTGAACTCAATGCACATGATGCTTTGTACCTGGAAAAGGCGAGAGCATTCAGAAACCATATGCGACAGTCCCTGTGTTGCAGCCAGGTTCTCGCTCAGATCTCTCTGGTCCGGCCTCCCCAAGCTGTATTTCCTTTGTCGGGACCTGTGTCCCAAAGCAGAAATAGCACACGTTTCACACAGAGCTGCCTTCCAAGTTAGTAACACTCACCTATATGCTTTAACATTGACCCAGAGGGAAAAGGGGTATTGATATGCTATTAGACACTTGGGTTTCTTATGTTTTCTGTCTAGAGAATTTGAAATGAGGGATGGGTTTGCTGACACAAAGACTGCATTTCATTTCACAACACATTTCGTCAATTCGTTTGTTTTCTAGTGGTTCTTCTTATAGCAGCGCACTGAATCTGCTCAGCGGGAGGGCGAAGAGAGCGTGTTGGCTCCGTGGCAGCTGGCTTGCAGAAATAGGGGGAGTTTCTTCAAGTCAGCCTCTTGAATGCGTTTGCCCAGGCAGGAACGTGACGTAAGTGTCTCGCTTTCCAGAAAACCAACGAGTGTCTATAGCATCCCTATACTTCAGAGCCAAAAGTATTAGATAACTTGTTGTGGGACACATGCCAAACATTAGTCCTTATCTTCTCCGAAATAAAGTTTGAAGGGTGCAGATTTCTTCTAGAATCTATCGCCTCTCTCTCTCTCTCCTAGTGTTTCATTAACCAGATGAACTGTATTACAGATACAATATCTCCGTTATCTGTGAAATTAAAGCCAGATGTTGAATTGCGCTGTTACATAAGCAGCTCTCCCACAAAACGGACCCAAAAATTCTGCCATACAAAAAGATTTAGATTTTTCGCCTGAAATTGATTGTAATATTACGAAAGAGTCTTAAAGGAGTAGTTCACTTTAAAAAAAAAAAAACTTTTGCTGATAATTTGTCTTTTTTTCTTCAGTCGAAAATAAATTAAGGTTTTTGATGAAAACATTCCAGGATTTTTCTCTATAATGGACTTCAATGGGGACCAAACGGTTCAAGGTCCAAATGAGAGTTTCAGTGCAAACTGTTCAAAGGGCTTTAAACGATTCCAGACGATGAGTAAAGGTCTTATCAAGCGAAACGATTGCTCAACAAATCTTTTTTCGTGTCATTTGGTTCATTCAACGAACGAAATGAACGAGTTGACTCTGGAAAAGATTCGTTCATTTTGATGAACGAGTTTGAACAGGAGAGTCACGAACGCACATCACAGAACAGAGCAAGGCGAGCATTTGTGCTTATAAAACTGAAACTTTGTTATTTATTTATTAAATGGCCGATCGTTTCGCTTGATAAGACCCTTATTCATCGTCTGGAATCGTTTGAACAGTTTGCACTGAAACTCTCATTTGGTTCCCATTGAAGTCTATTATATGGAGAAAAATCCTGGAATGTTTTCATCAAAAACCTTAATTTCTTTTCGACTGAAGAAAGAAAGACATGGACATCTTGGATGACACGGGGCGAGTAAATTATCAGCAAAAGTTTTTTGAAAAGTGAACTACTCATTTAAGTGTCGCCAAAATGGTGCATAAAATCTGGAGCTGGTTGCAATAAAAATGTGTATTGGACGTTGCAACCAATGCAATATTATATTTAAAAAATTCAATGTTATGTAATCGTTACAATCAACTGATTATAGTTTTGACGGCTTAACTCTACCTCATGCTGGTTCTGTCTCTTTTGAAAGAGTTGAGGTGAAACAAAGAGGGCGCCAAGCACACGGCGATGTTGGTCGGAGTCATCTGGTTCTCCTCCACGCAGGAGACCACCTCCTGGAGGAAGAGGAGGAGGCTCTGAAGGGCTTCCCTGTTCTCATCAGGCAGGAGGTAAATGGCTGCTTGAACCCCCACAAACTGTTGATCTTTGGGGAAGTCTGTAGGGAAATCATCAATGCAGAATAAAAGCTTGGAAGCAGATGCTTCACTTTGTTTCAAAACAATCAATTTCAGCGGTTTCTTAACTCTTCTCAACTTACATTGGTAGATGTGCAAGAAGGTTTCGCACAGTTTGCTGGAGAAGATGGGTTCGGGTAGGTCTCTGAAATACTGCTTCACCATGTCAGCCACATCAAAAGCCGACTGATTTTCAAAGGACACGCCCTCGGGGTCAGCCTCCACCATTTCCCTTAAATTTTGAATGCGGGATTTGACCCCAGACTTTCGGAAGAGCCCAACCTGTCGAGATATATCACATTTATAGAGTGCAGGGGTCTCATTTATGAAGCGTGCATACAAAAACGGGGCTGTAAACGTACGTACGCCAGTTTCCACGCAAAGGTTGTGATCTATGATAAAATAACATGCCAAACTCTGAGCCGTGCGTGCGCACATCCTGGACACAAAGGGAATTGGTGACACCGATGGTGAGCTGGAGTTAAATGTTTTTTTGGTCACTTATAGCCTATAAGCTACAGAAAGATAATAGCCTACAATTAAAATTTCACTCACCAAGCTTATCACTTGAAGCCAATATCCAGCCCTTATTAAATGTCCGCGCTAACGAGCGCGTTGGGCCGTTAGTGAAACTGACGCACATATAGCCTATAATCTAACGGCAGATGAAGTAAAACCGCAAATCTTCATGATTACTAATAAATACAGTGCATGTTCTCAATAACAGTAAATAAAAGAATGATTTAAACTATGTTTTACTTCTGATATAAACATTTAGATTAAATATCCCATTCTCATTAATGGAGTTAAACACTTAAACTACATGAAATCATTACTGAGAAGTTTCACAATATATATATATATATATATATATATATATATATATGAAGAGTTCAGATGCAAAAGCCTCTAAATGCCATTTGAAATTTTCTTCTTTAATGATGATTTTTATCAAACTTGTATATTTAAGTTCAGTAATTTCACTTAAATAACAATTAATAGGTAATTATCATTGCCATTTAAGTGAAATTACTGAACTTAAATATACAAGTTTGATAAAAAATCATCATTAAAGAAGAAAATTTCAAATGGCATTTAGAGGCTTTTGCATCTGAACTCTTCATATATATATTGTGTTATATTATATTATTGTGTTATATATATATTATTGGGTTATATATATATACTGTGTATATATATTCAATAAATAGAAATATTTATTTGTTGCAGATCCAATGCTTTTGAACACTTTTTCTCTGGCATGCTGTGTTTTAATGTTTTCACTAGAAATAATTGCTAATCATGATAATAGCAGATTGTCTGAGAAAATAGGTCCATGCAAATAATGCAATAAAACAATGTCTATCTGTTTCCATTAAGAATATAAATTTATATAGGCCAGTGGAAAAGATTGAGAAAATCTCAAATTGTACACTAAAGAAGGCAAGGATATCGACTACTAAAAAAATAAATAACAATATTTCATATTTTCCTAAAGTCTTATACCTTAACATGGTATCACGTGGATGAATAATCATATGCAGATGAGGATATGCATATTTAAACTAGGCGTTGTGAGCTTCATATATGGTTATTTCGGGGAGGAGATGCACATGCACACAATCTCCCGCTGACTGGGATTTATAAAGTGAATTATGCGCAGGTTCTGGCGTATGAACGGTTTTATAAATCTGAATAGTTTTTGGCATATACACCAAATTTGGCTTTTGGGCGCACGTACACTTTAGTCTCATGGGAAATAACGTGACTCTACGTATATTTAGTACGCCTCAGTTCAAATTCGCTGTATCCTAGTATCAGAGTGGTTCTGAAATACTCTGTTTGCACTCTTTGAGAAAACATCAGAGAAATACTTTTATGCAGTATTTATTTGTTGATGTTTATGAGAATAATACTTCCCTTTTGCAAGAATAACTGCGATTCAATATAGCTTAATTTTCGGATGATTATGCAAATTTAACTTTGTACATTCAGTCTCTATTTTTGGTCGGCATACCTGATCCAAGCACTCTGTCCTCAAGTACTCCATTGCTCTCAAAATGCTCGGTGGTAAAGGTTTTCCCGATTGCTGGACACTCTGGAGCAAAGGCACCTCAAACACCTTCCTGCTCTTATGTTCTGAAGGTTTAACCTTTCGGTAGACTTTCGGCACAGTCCTAGAATGGCAGAAGTGCAGAATGATGTATTTGGAGATTACTCACCTACATTAGTCTGAGATAATGATATGTTGTGCTAAATTAGCGGATTTATCAGCAGTGTTGTGAGGCATCGGCTATAATTGCTTGCATGTGTTGAACTGACATTTCATTTGTTTGCTGTGATAAGCTTCTTGTTGTTTTCTGTGTATGATCTAGTAGTAAAGAAATAAAGCAATTAGAATGGATGTAGTGGTTTTAATCTTTGAGTACATATTGGCCTGCTGGCGAAAGGCTCGTGATGAATTTCGAACTGTCCTTTTCGTTTAGCAAAGCCCATATTGATTTACATTATGAAAGGCCTTTTTTCATTAGACGGTGTAGTAGAGAAGATAACCTGACGGCAATTTAAGTCCTGCTTCTCATTATTTCTATATAAATCAGGTTCAGGGACCTCAAAGCCAATTAAATTCGCCAACTAATTCGTCAAAAAAATTGGATTTTCAAAATTTCATACAATCTAGGTTCTCTTGATAGCGTTAGCCTCAATTACCCCTTCATTTATCTTCTAGCCCAACTCTCCTCAACATCAAGCTTGGTTGTTCAATTAAAGACAATATCAATGTCCACTCCTGGTGTCACAATGTGATTGTTTAGATTCAAGAGGCTCTGCATTCTACAAAAATTAGCAATAGCCAGTCTCACATCTTATTGTAGAAGAAAATAAATAAACAATTAAAGATTTTGAATCAACGGCTTATCTGAAATCGAGTGAGCTGACACGCAGTTAAGATGCTGAATACTCAAGCAAGCGATCAATATAAATGTGGGGCTAGACTTAAAAGCGGTTTCTTTTGTAGTTAGCTCAGTGGTTGTTAAAACAAATAGCCCAATTATTCATCTCCCAAGATGTCAATTATCCTCTCCTCTTCAGCTTTAGCAATTGTTCTTTTTTGTCCAGTTAACTACACAAATGCGTAATCTCAAACATGTTATTAATTGCTCCATGGGGAGCTTAGTTCTCAGATTTGGGTTACAATATCAGGCTAGCAAAAGGCAAACATTTCCTATCTGATCTGATCAAAGAGTCCTTAAACATGTGTGTTGACTTGTCGGGAGTGTCATCAATAGCCAATAGATAAGTATTTCCTGCACACTAACCCCCATCTACCATTAGTCATTCACAAATTCATCCCATAATACTCTAGTATTGCCACAGAGTAACAGTTTATACTAGTGCTGTCAAACGATTAAAATATTTAATCGCGATTAATCGCATTAACTCACGATTAATCGCTCGATTTTTATCTATTCTAAATGTCTCTTGATTTCTTATTTTCTTGATTTTAATGCTCTTATCAACGTAGAAAAGTGGATCGGATTGCTCTGTGCAAATGTTTTTTATTTAAAACAACATTGGCATATACGGTGTTCAATTTCACACTAATATTCTCACTTGGAGCAAATAATCTCTCACACAATGTAACGCTGTCCATCAATAAAAGGGTGAGCGAAATACTGACGAGGGGGCGGAGAATTTGCATCGTCTGTGTGTGTGTGTGTGTGTGCTTGGCAATCAAGTGGCGTTTCAGACTGGACGTGCTGCGATGATGATTGCTCAGTTCACAACGACAAAACACACAGATCGCTTTGGTTTTTTTGGTCAATTAAACCATTTGGCAAGTTTTTAGTAAAGTAAACTTTCCATTCAGGATCTTATTGGCATCAATTTTAGCGTCTCGCGCTCGTCATCCACTCAAAACGCAACGTTAATCAACTGTTTGGCCGTCTCGCAAGCCCAAACGAGTGTGTGTGGCGTGTCTGTTGTTTTGTTTTACGGTCTAGCTAGATCTGCTTGCGCTTTGGTCGTCGAGGCAACAAAATGTCCTCGCGCGGCGCAAGCCATTGAAATGAATGCGTTTCATAGCACCGCGCATACCGCGTCGTGTTGAAAAAGCATTGAAAAAAAACGACAAAGTTTGCTAGGCTAAAAAGATTGTTAATCACGCGATGAAAAAAGTGACGCCGTTAAAATGGGTTTGCGTTAACGCTGTTAATAACGCGTTTAACTGACAGCCTTAGTTTATACACTTTTCAGGGCAACGTGAACCTGTTAAACCGTAATAGAAAGTATTTTGACATCAAAAAATAAATGTCACCTTTAATTTTTAATAAGTTGAGTCGGGGGAAAAAAACAACTCTTAAGAACCCGTTGTTACTCATGAATTGGACATCAATGGACTCATTTTCATTCGTAATATGCTTTATGCGGAGCGTCACGTGACCAAACCGGAAAACAGGTCTCATCGCATCCGCTTGTCAGAGAAAGTGTTAACGGCCGTAAGAACTGACTACGATATCTATGGATTTTTAAGGTAATCAGCTAACATACCTAGTTCACTTTGTTATTGGCGTTTTATTCCATTTAAAAATATCTAAACGTTACTGTGAAGACGCAAAAATATAAAACGTTTAAATATCAATCTGCATATGTGAGGGACATTGGTTATGATAATCTTTGCTCGCTCCTTTTAAGTTATCTTGAGTAAAACCACAAAAAATTTCATGAAGCACATACAAAAGACCTGGACCGGAAGCGATTCGACCTGTTCAAACAGAATGCGGAAGTAAGTTGTGATATCTCCCCATGCTATTACATGGCCGAATCACTGTGTGAGAGTGTCTTCCAAAATGGTAAAAAAAGAGCAAGACTCATGCTGTGTCATGCAACCTATGGTGTGAGAGGGTTCACTCACTCACTATTCTCGAAACCTCGTCTATTTTGTCTGCTGGGAGACTTTCCAAGGTTGCAACTCAGCATTAATAATGAATGAATCTCTAAACCGCAGGTCTCTCACTCTCATTGTCTAGCAAGCTACTTTTACCAGATTGTGTCTATCCCTCTTCCCCTCCCATCTTACCAGTTCCAGCCTTGTTTGCTGAAGGGTGAGTGCTTGTCCATCAGAGCCGTGAGCCGGAGAAGGCTCAGTCTTTGCAGCATGGAGACATGTGGTGCTGATTTTGCCTGTATGCCCGTGCTGGGGTTGCTCAGTGAAAGCATCTGTGCACTGGACCAGTGGGGCCTCTGAATTCTGAAATGTAGGAAGCGAACCAACTTTTGCATGAATACGCTTTGCTCTTTATCGAATGCGTGTACACTAGATCAGCGATTCCCAAACTGTGGTCCGTGAGGGTACCGCAGGTGGTCCGTGAAAAGGCAAAATAAAATATAAAATATTTTACCAAGAAATTCCCATTAAAAAAAAGGAAAAAGAATAAGTAGGCCTTTATTTATATAAAATGTTAATTAAATTGTAAAGATGTGGAGGGTGACAAAGGGGGGATATTACGTTCATATCCGAATTAATACGATTTTGCTAAATCATACATATTTGACATATTTCGTATGAATTCGTACGAATGACCTACCCCTAACCCCGCCCCTAAACCTAACCATCACGTGGGTTTAGACAAATCGTACGAATTAGTACGAGTGAGGTCGTACGAATTAGACACTTTTTAATCGTGCGTCGAATTCGTACGAATTGGTCGTGAGTAGGGTTGGGTATCGAGAATCGAGTATCGATTGGAACCGGGACTAAATTTTAGTTTTTCCCGGAATCGTTCAAAAGTTAAAATTTCGATTCCCAGTTTCGATATTCACAGTCCGCCGAGCGGAAGAAGAAACCGCCGAACAACACCAACGAAGAAGCGTCTACCGGAAGTGTTGGCATAACCGCGCGAGTCGAACATGAGTAGCTTACGTCGGCGGTCCAAAGTGTGGCTTCACTTTTCTAAAAATAACGAAATCTCGGCAAAATGCAAAAATTGTGAAGGAAGGAGTATTTCCTTCAGAAAGGATTATTTCCTTCCGAAAGACCGTTGGTTAGCAAGGTTAGCTAAACTTTTTTGACCCCGCCTCTTGGAAGAATCGGAATCGAGAATCGTTAGGAACCGGAATCGAAACAAGGAATCGGAATCAGAATCGTTCAAATTCAAACGATACCCAACCCTAGTCAGTGAGATAGTGTTGCAACATCGGGCTGGCAAATAGACTCCAATGGCTTTTCCTTTTGACAACTTTATTTTTAATCTGGAATAACGTTAGGCCTACTGTGTTTGCTTTAAATGTGTAACGTTATAGGGCAGAGGCAAATATGATCTCATTATCAAATCACATGCATAGCCTTTATAGGCAGTTTAGGCCTATATGAAACGAAATGTTTATAAATGGAATGAATAAGGCCTGTTATTATTTTAATTTCCAGTTAACGTTAGTTTCTCTGAAATGTTTTGCGGACGTGCTGTTAAGTGGACAAACTCAAGCCTACTTTTTGAGGACTTGTAGAATTACGAAGATTAACGTTAATAATCCCCTAAAATCGATAAAGGTTTTGAAATGCTGACTATATCCAAGTGTTCTTATTACTGTATAGATTTGGAAATAAGCCTGTGGTTCAAAGGAACCTGATTATAATATGTAATATCATAATATGTGTCCGTGAAAATTCTTGATTACAAATAGTGGTCCACTCCACACACAAAGTTTGAAAACCCCAGCTGCCTTCATAAAATAGTGGTTTGTGTCTCTTACCTGTGATCACTGTGCTCTGTAGGCTGAGCAGTGTGTGCAAACGCTTCATCCGTCTCTTCTGGCTCTTTGATCTCAAGGTGGATGTCAGTCAGAGAGGAGGGCGAGGGGGAACCCGAGTGGGAAAAATCTGAATCCCCATCCTCTGACAACTTATCCGTCCACGAGGTCACCAACTGCTGCAGGCCACAAATGCGTTCCATCACACTGTCCAAAGCAGAGAAGACGTCGTCGTCCAAAATCTGCATGTGATCTGGGACTGGGACGTTGTCATAAATGCTGACGCGGTGATCACAAGTAGCCAATGGGCTGCATGTTTGTTCCTGGTCCTTGGAGCTACTGCTTCTGCCTCGGTAACCATGGAAGCTTCCGGTCCTCCAGTTGACCGAGGTGTTGTCGATGGGTGAGAAGGCGTTGTCGTGGGAGAGCACAGTTGGGAATGTGCCTGGCTTGTGTCCATGGGGAATTTCAAAGATGGGGTTGATTTGCTTCTGGCCGTCATCTTGTTTGGTCGGCCCGGGGCGTTTGCAGTTGCTCCGCACCTTGGTCACTGGGCTAGGCGTGCTGACCGTGCTGCTGCTTTCCGAGGGACTGCTACTGGATCCCGAGGGCGGTGTGCTGGATGCAGGACTTTCGGTCTTGTCTTGGAGCCTTGCTAGATCTAGACATTGGAGATGCTTTAGCCTTTCCTCGCCAAGACCTTCCTGGATAACTGGTCCACTTATGACGAGTCTTGCTTTTATGCCTCTGGTGTGTGGGTGTAGCGTGCCTCCGGTTAATCTGAGTTTCTCCATCTTTCGGAGAAGGCTTTTTCCTTTTTTAACTGGAGGCTTCTCAGCAAGGCACTCTTCACTGCCCAACGGGTGATGTTCACTAGGGGACGGAGGTCTGCTGCAAGATTTGTAGTTCGAGGAGCATCTGGAGGAGCTACGACTTTTCTCGGGTTCCTCTGCCGTTGTGTTGGGAGCGCTTCCCCCATCGCTGTCCGCATTACTGGAGCTATGAGTGGAGCAAAGCTCATGGCATTCACCGCTATCGGAAAGAGAGGCCTCACAGCATCTCCTATAACTTGAAACGGGGCTGTTCGGTGAGTGCCCGTCATCCACACGTATCCATCGCCGGCTCTTCCTCTCGAATGACCATTTTGGGCTGATTGCATAGACGTCTTCTTCCTCCTCTTCATCTCCCTACATGAACAAATCAATGGGTTATATGAGTCCCTTCGGCGTCATATGACGTTTTGGCGAAATACTACGCACATGGCACCCTTCAGCGTCAATATAACACGCAGAACTCAAGGCGCCATACAGGAGGCATCCTTTAGCGTCAAAATGAGACTCGGACTACCCCAGACCTAAACCTACCCATAACAGTGCGTGTTATATTGGCGCTAAAGGGTGCCATGTGCGTAGTATTTCGACGAAATGTCATATGGCGTCACCTATATGACCCGTCACTCGTACACACCGGGACGAATATTGGCGCGTGTTATTCGTCAGCGTTTTTCAACGCGTTTTTTTGTGTTCACACCCAAGCTTTTTGACGATGAGCCGAGTGAACATGCAAATTCATTCCCTGACATTAGATGGCGCTAATTTGCTCTGCAAGAACAGTTCTCTTTTATCAAGATGTTTGTAGTCGCAGTCGTGTTTGTCTTAGTGTAGACCATAGATATCTATATAAAGGCTAGATATATCGTCCACGCTGCTGGCCAGTGGAGGTCGACGTCTGCATCTGGCGGCCATCTTGTCACAGGCAGCTCGCTCACTCGTAACATTGTGTTAATGGTACATGTACTATTTAAATTACCATAACTTGCTCAATTTTCTACCGATTTTCAAACGGTTTGTTTTGTTATAAACGTCAGAGATGTAGTTATGACACTGCATACTTATGAATAAAAAGTGTATAAATAAATTATCATCCAGATAATTATAGCCACGTTAATAACGTTTGTAAGAAACCAAACCGTTTGTAAATCCGTCAAGATTTAAACGAGATAAGAGTATTTGTGTTCGTGCTGACCAACTCATCTTACATCAGCTTGTCTGTGACAAGATGGCCGCCGGTGATGACGATGGAAACTCCGCCGTAACACATCTAGCCTTTATATGCATATCTATGGTGTAGACGGCGAAGCTACTTGGCGTTTATCTTCTTCGCCGTTATGTATGCGTGCTCGGCAAGACCGTTTTGTGTTTGAGCGCCCCCAAGTTGTGTTTTACCGTAACTTCAGAAGCTCCAAACACGTGAGCAAAAATGATGAATTTTACGCGTCGTTGTGCACACTCACATTGGCGCCCTTTGTTAAACGTCGGCGAATAACGTGTGCGAAATTCGTCCCGGTGTGAACAGGCCTAAAGGATGAGAATGTGTTGGCTTATACACAGCGAAGGATGGTGGAAAGGAAACTTTTGCTCAGGCTTTCTTTTGTTTATGTACTATGTTTACATGCATCTTCTCTTAGAGTTTTCTCTCACACTTACTCTTCTTTTGGACCGGCTCAACTCCAGCTTCATCTCCACGCACTTGTTTAAGGTACTTAATCTCCTGAAGGCAAAAGAAAACATTGATGTCAAACAGGAAGACAGCATGATGTTCCCCTCAAATTCCTGCCACTGTGATTAGCAAGAAGCGCTCGTTCTACGTCAGCATAGTCTCAAAAGCACTACCTGCATAGAGAATCTAAGGCATCCTTATCCAGAAATTCATGATCACTCTTCACCCAGTCTATGTCAATAGGGAAACAGCAATCTAGAAAGCAAACAAATTAAATTGAATTGCAGTACAATAATATTTGCAATCTATTAGGACACATTAAAGTATGCAATGAGAAATTATGAAAATAAATATTTACCGGTGAATAACTGTGCATACTGAGGGAAACCAGCTGCATGGAGCCAATCACAAGCCTCCTTCGCTTCTATCTCTACAAAAGAGAATCAGCGCATATGAAGTATGTTATGTCTGGTTGTTTAGCTTTTAAGAGGCAAACTATTACCACTTAATTCAATTTATTTTTTAATTAACATTGAAAGTGGAGCATTTTTTTTTGTTCAAAGCCACCCCAAGTTTGTTATCAACCATCTTCTCATTTCATTAATTTCATGTGGATTAAAAGTGGAGGCTGGCTAATTTGCTGCTAATTGAATGTCTTTGGCTTTTACATGGTTGACCAAAAGAAGACATATGGTTTCAGCCTTTCTTGCTGCTTCTATTCCTCTGTCACTCATTTGCTTTCACATTTTTCCTAACTAAACACTGCCAGGAACAGATGGTGGAAACAAATCCTTTCTTTGCACTGACTGGCGATCCATAAAACCTTTGCATAGGAGTCTATCTTTCTCATGAGTGGCGAAGGGGTCAGGGGAAGACAGCTGGATCTGTGCTGCGAAGAACAGATGGCTCAGATATGTAAACACAGGGACCGAGTTAATGCCGCCACCCTGCTCTGACGCAGAAGTGGCCTGTAAAGTCATGTAGCTGAGCAGACAATCTGTAGGTTACCACCATGGCTTGCATTACTGTAGCTTATCTGGGCTGCCAACATGACATCATGACTTTTGCGTAAACATACACGTGACTTTCAAGTCAAGTGGCGTGTTATCTATACGCATTTTGAGCTATCCACGTGTATGTGTGTGTGTGTGCGTGCATGTACACGCCGTTAAATGTACGAGCGAAACGAAGCAAAATGTAGATCTACATCTGGGGAGCGATATTTTTTTTCCCTAGGATGGTAGGGGAAGACTTATAAATGCTATTAACCCCAGTGACGGGTAGGTTTAGGGTGGGGGTTGGGGTCAATCATATATTTATATTAGAGCCAGACCGATTTATCGGCCGATATTAGGCATTTTCCAAACTATCGGTATCGGCAGTTATAATGAATATAATAAATGAATATTTCAAAAATAAAATAAAAATGGACTAAACTCGCTTCAATAATGTCATGAGTGTTGGAGTTGTATAGTCTGTCCACCAGAGGGCGCTCTACACCGTCCCTGTTGGCAACTCTCGTAAATAACGCGCCACACATCCTATGCATAAAAGTTAGCTTTTTTTTTTACATGTGTGTGAAATCCAACGCCAAGTGTGCGTTGCAGACTGTCGTTCTGTAATGGATTTAGAATCGCTAAATACAGTGGTGTGAATAAGTGTTGGCACCCATGCTAAAGTCGCCTAAAAAGAGGAATAAAAAATCATCGTTTGGATATTGATCTTAATGCCTTAATTAGAAAAATGAGGAAAACTCCAACCTTTAAGGACACCAATTTTCTTTGTGAATGAATAATGTATCATAAATAAATACATGTTTTTCCTTAAAATACAGGGTGCATAAGTCAGGACACCCCTATGTTAAATTCCCATAGAGTTAGGCAGGTTTTTATTTTTTAAAGCCAGTTATTTCATGGATCCAGGATAATATGCATCCTGATAAAGTTCCCTTGGCCTTTGGGATTAAAATATCCCCACATCATCACACACCATTCACCACACCTAGAGATTGGCACGGTTTTACTTCAGTTAGCCTAACAGCTGGTTTGATTTGCATTGAAAGATGATCTTATGGAAAGTACCCCATGCCAATCTCTAGGTGTGTTGGAAGGTGTGTGTGATGATGTGGGGATATTTTAATCCCAAAGGCCAAGGGAACTTTATCAGGATGCATATTATCCTGGATCCATGAAATAACTGGCTTTAAAAAATAAAAACCTGCCTAACTCTATGGGAATTTAACATAGGGGTGTCCTGACTTATGCACCCTGTATTTTAAGGAAAAACATGTATTTATTTATGATACATTATTCATTCACAAAGAAAATTGGTGTCCTTAAAGGTTGGAGTTTTCCTCATTTTTCTAATTAAGGCATTAAGATCAATAACCAAAAGATGATTTTTTATTCCTCTTTTTAGGCAGCTTTAGCATGGGGGCCAACACTTATTCACACCAACGTAGTAGGTTTTAGAAGGCAGGCAGCAACTGATGATTGAAAATGGTTTGATGTAGCTTAATGGAAAGAATTAAAAAAAAAGTGCAGGTAGGGATAAGCAAGCTGACATTGTAATTATAAGGTAGCTTATAAGGCAATGTAGGGACTAATTATTATTTTATTTATTTACTTTTGATGTTCCTCTGTTCTGTTGTGACAATAGAAACAAGTTTCTTTTAAAAATGCATTATCATATTATTGTCGTTAAAACTCATAAATAACTACAAATAACTAATGTTAGGGAAATCTGTTAGTTTTGTTGCGTGTTTCTGAAATTAAAAAAAAAAAAAACATCGGCCGATATATCGGAATATCGGATTTTAAAACCAACAAATATTTGTATCGGTCGGGTTCTAATTTATATATGCAGTAATAAGTCAACGGCGTTCATAAACGCGCTGAAAAGTGATTATGCGTGTTGATAGCGCGCCAAAAATGGAAATACGAATTGGCGCGTCATACACACGCAATTTGGGGCTGCTGAATTCTGGTCTGAATAAATGAGCATTGCAGATCAGAAGTTTCTCAGACAGTGGGTGTGAATCTAGAAGGCACATACTCTGATGCAATAACTGCTACCGCTGCAAATTACCCAGTTCCAGCCGTTTTCTTAGAACTCTAGCATGGGAATTATGTAAGTGTGATCGTATCACAATGCCTCTCCACTGTTTAATAGAGCTGAGCAGGGAAAGGCACTTCCTTTTCTAAATACCTCAGGCGGCCCTACAGGAAGTTGTGCTTTTAGGGTTTGGATGCTGATAACAGATGTGGCTTGTGATTGTCCTCTACAAGCATCTGAATGGTCTGGGAGGGTCTTGGCTAATGGTGCTACGTGCTGCACAGGCTGTAAGCTATGAATGATACAAAACGCTGTTAGATTGGTTGGCTGATATCTCACTCCAGGTCGAAGCCACGTAATAAAGTGCTACAGCAGGACCCCTGGGGATTCAGCGACTGCCATAAACACCAATCTTCAGAGGAGTCGATTGACATGAGAAATGCATCTATGGGACCCCTGAGGGGTGGTGAACATCATGTTTGGCTGACAGCTTGAACAGTTCTAACCTGGAGAGTCTCAAGCAGAGCAACCTTTAGCTTTTGTATAAGTTTAGGAAGAAATTCAACGGATTTAAAGGGATAGTTCACTTTGAAATAAATTTTTGATATGTTTTATCTTACCTCAAGGGCATCCAAGATGTAGGTGTCTTTGTTTCCGCAGTATTTTCAATTTTGATATTTTTCAGTCAAACCGTTGTTGTCTATCAGTCATACACTGGAGGCTAAGGGGGTCCACCAAAGAGCAGCACAGAGAAGTCCAAATTAAACATGATTTAATGACTCGTGAATGTAAGTACACATTGATGGCCTAAGACACGAAACGAGCGGTTTGTGTGAGAAAACAAACAGTATTTATATCGTGTAATCACAGTGATCTGAATCAGTTGTTCAATGTCCAACTGAACCGAACTGAATCAGTTCAATGTTACGCCGGAAGTGATCGCTTGCGTGTGACGTCACTCAATGTTTACACGGAGATTTCGTAAGTTTTACCTTTTACTAAACATATTTAGATATCCCGAAATCGTCTTCCATTGCGGTTTCCCGTATATCTAAATATGTTTAGTGAAAGGTAAAACTTCCCAAATCTCTGTATAAACAAAGAGTGACGAAAGCGCGCAAGCGATCACTTCCAGACCGAAGCGCCCGTGCCGTCAGATCATTTTGTCATGGCTATGATTACAAGAGGTAAAACGGTATAAACACTGTTGGTTTTCCCACACAAACCGCTCGTTTCGTGTCTTAGGCCATCAATGTGTACTTACATTTACGAGTCATTAAATCATGTTTAATTTGGACTTCTCTGTGCATGCGTTTTGGTGGACCCCCTTAGCCTCCAGTGTATGACTGATAGACAACAACGGTTCACAACAACTACTGCGGAAACAAAGACACCTACATCTTGGATGCCCTTGAGGTAAGATAAAACATACCAAAAATTAATTTCAAAGTGAACTATCCCTTTAAGAGAACTAAAGGTTTCGTGAGAAGTCTAGAGAAGTATATTTGCGTTAAGATTCAATTGTCTGAATATATACGTATGTACTTAGCCTATGTTTGATAATAATAGAATACAGCGCAAGTACAGTTCAATAAAATAGAGGTCTCATTCGTTTCATTCAAAAAGTATCTCTAGGACTTAATATGTTAATAGTTTTGATTTGTCATTGTACTTTTATAAAACCTGTATTCACATCCAAGATGATCACATTTCATATTCATTCGTAGAGTTGGTACAAACCTGTAAAATTGAATGTGTGGAAGATAACTGAGATTCACGGCTTAAATAAGCCAGTTAAACGATGAGGGATTTTTTACTCCCTTTAAATCTTTTTAAATTGGGTTTTGACAGCAGTGCAAGTCAAACGCCCCACAGGGAGAAGGTCTGCTTTGCATGTATTTTATGTAAAATTTGGTTTAACCACACGCCCATTTACTATATGTAAAGTATTGATAGTGTGTCTATTCAAAGTGTGACGTACTGTATAAACAAAGCTACAATTTAAAATTAATAAAATGAAATCCATTACTTATGTAATATGTATTTTGTTTTCCTCGGGATGTGGCAGTTTGCTAAATATGGACCTATAAAATGCAAATGATTATGAACCTAATCCAATTTAATCTTGCACTGTAATCCAAATTTTCCAGAACAGGAACAGAACCTAATTCAAATCTTTTTGAAGATCAGCTGACCGCAGTGGCAATCCATCTGTCACTCAAGTGGCCACGCCCTTAATTATGCAGAACTTTTAAGAGTTCTAAACAAATGCACCCCTCTCACAGTTGATACATCAAGAGTAAAAGTGACGAGCTTTGTAATAATCTCCAGATGTGGCCGAAAAAGTTTTTGAGTCATGTAAACACATTTTCCATA